CATTACATTGAATCTTATGTATTGGCGACTTTTTACAAAAACCAAGTGTGTCTTTCAGTATTACCATACACATTTTGTCAGAGAACAAACACCTAAGACTAAGTAACTGAAATTACTCATAGCACATGCCCGCAAATAACTATTCCTGGGTGGGTTTCGCCTGTTCGTTTATTTATTTGTTGTCTTGATATATTCACTTGATACACAGTCATAAATTAATAACTGAATCCTGTACCCCAAGATATCATTTATATAATATCTTGCTTTCAGAAGGGAACACAAATATACGACTATCCAGATATGCTACTTTCTTCTTTATATTTTTCAAAGTCTCTAGAGACAAAGTTTCTAGGACCCCCTTTAGTGCATCAGACTCTCAGGTTTGACAACTCCTATAATCAAAATTCTTCCAAGTTTCTAACCAAAATCCTATCTGAAGTGCAGGGTTCATCAGGTCAACAGCTTGTGATGGAACAGGCCTATTAAATCCAACTTTTGGTGAAGTTAAAGCTTGTGAATGAATCCTAGCTAAATAACATAATTACGGATATGAACCGAAGCCAAGAAATCTGCCATCTACTTCACGGCAAGTCTTAAGTGGAGAAAGGATATCCTTCGTGCAAAATCACCCTGGAAAGGAGAAAGCAATAAGGAAAAGAGATCACTGTGCAGCAAAAGAGTTTTCATCAGATGGAAGGGTATTTGGTTATGGCAGCCGGCTAGCTGGCTGATGCAGTGGAACACTGAGGGTGTGGACCAGCTGGGGATCCTGGGGTTTTCTGGAGTCCTGGCAACCACATGGAATTTTCTATAAGGGGCATCTGAGGGAAACCCAGGAGCCTGTTTGGTGAGACAATTGGCATGTGTAGGAGATAGTTTTGAATAAGAACGTGAAACCAGTTAATCCACCAGGACAGAGTGGTATAGCACTGTGCCATCGTGATGGGACAAGCAGGAATGTCACCTGCTAAGAGACAGACTTTGGGGAAAGTGAATATTCTTGCAAGCAACAGGTTCTGTTGTTATTCAGCCAAATGGTCTCCACACCTTTAGAAGAGCCAGGCAGTGAAGAGACTGCCCCATCTCCCCCACCCACTGCTATGGAGGGCATTCATTTATGACCCATTCTCAGGGGTTGCAAATAAAAATAAGGTACCTAATTTTATGTATATGGTTTTCTTTCATGCACTCAAAGAATTTGTATCTTTCATTTATAAGCAAAATGAAACCTATTCCTTTATTATTCTCTCTTTTTTTTTTTTTCCCCTCTGAGGAGTGATATCCTGGTCTCAGGCAGTCATTTTTGTTGCTCATCTCTGGAATTTCTCCAGTACACTCACATAAAGCATCAGTTTTAGGGCCCAGCAGATCCTGGTGCACTAATAAAATCTAGTTTGATGAAGAGTACAAAGGGATGATCTCCTCGTCCTTCTGCTTATTTGATATTTCTGGTACAGAGGTGGCCATTACTGTGCTGACTCGTGCTTAATTTGATTTCACGTTGACACAGACCCACACTTGCAAATTCTCCACACCAGGGCCCTTTTTATTATTTTACTCCTATTAAAAAGCAAAATATTTTTGAAAAACTGTGTCCAAAAGAAAACTCTTCATTTATTAAATGATTCATTACTTTAAACTTTCAATCAGATCTGATTAAAATGTAACTAGTCCATAGCCATGATGAATTCATATTATTTTCCCAATAAATGTTATATTTTAATCACTTTATTGTGAAATTTTCATTAGACTTTTGAAATATCAAAAATAATCTAATTGAGACAAACAGAAATTGATGGACGTTATACAAGATATTTGACCATTAATTGTGAAAACTGTCAAGGTCATGAAAAACAAAGAAAGTCTAAGAAACTATCACAGATCAGAGGAGACTAAGGAGACGGAACAACTAAATGCAACTTGGTATCTGGTATTGGATCCTCAAACAGAACCAGATAGGAAAAAACTGGTGAAATTGAGCAGAGTTTGTAGTTTAATTAATATTATTTTACTAATGTTACTGTATTAGTTTGGAAAAATGTACCATAGCTATATAGGATGTTAATATTAGAGGAAGCTGCATAAATACATGGGAATTCTGCATTTTTGCAACTGTTTATAAACCCAAGATTATTCCAAGATTAGAAAAATAATAACTTAAGGGCCTCAACTTGGTAAACAGTCTACTATGTCAAGTCTTTAAAAACCAGTCTTACTTGCCTCCGTTAATGTAGTAACAGAGATAAGATACTGTCAAAAACGGTAAATCTATTTTTTTCTTTATTATCCACTATGAGGTTCATTTTGTAACAATACTGAGTGCCTCAATAGAAACGTATGCTTGCTGGCTCATGATTAGCTGGCTCTTGGGTGGAAAATAACTATGGTAACATGAGATGGGGAATTGCAGTCAGTATGGGTATTTGCATGTTTCCATGAATATTTTAAGCTTCATTTGACATCATGATTGTTCCTAAGTTATGAGCAATAAAGTGACAAAGGGCACAGGCAAAAGCATTCTTCTGTAGGAAAAGACAACAACCATATTACCAGGGCTTGGGTCTCAGTTACATTCAAGGAGAGCAGCCTTAGAGGAGTTAAAATAACTTCTACGAGCCGAGTCATTTAATGAATAGCAGAACCTGCACTGAAAATCAAATTGTTCTGACTGAAAAACTATGTTTTTAGGCATTACAATATAATACTTTGAATGCTAACACAAAGGTGTGAATATGTTGAGTGAAATGATTTATCCTGTGCAAAACTTACTTCATGCTATGTTGTGAAGAGAGTAATTTCAGGAAGAGAGTAAATTTGATGTATTGTTTTCAACTGTGTAATGGTAAATGTGAATATAAATAGCCATATAGCTTAACAATATCCAAACCATTGTGAAATTAGCAGGAACTCATATTTGTAGTCAATGAAATATTTAGACAGTTTTGTCTATTGATATATATAGCATAATTCCAATAATTATGGGAATCATTTGAAACCTTTAAAAATATATTGGTGCAAGCAATAATTTTTACAGTACATGTAAATATCCATAATGGTTATGAATGTGCTGAATAAGGTCTGTTGCTAAGCCCATTTTATCTGTTTTGTATTAAACTGCCCTGTGTTTAGTTAGTGACTCTCCTGTATGCACTGTGCCATGAGCTTTATGCACTTAAACTCTTTTTACTGCCACAATAATGTTTTGATACAGGCATTATTTTCCCCAAGCTAATTTAAGGACAAAAGCTAGGAAGCGACATAGCCATCATGTAAACCCAAGTCTGTCCGGTTCCAAAGCTTTATTAAAGTTCTGCAATACCAAACTGTGTCCTCTTATATATTTTCATTTCCTAAATTTGTTACCTCTTAACATATAAATACTTCTTTTAAGTTTAAATGGCAGAATTCTACAACACTAAATAAATCCATATAAAATTAATCAAAATTAAACCATATACTGATATCTTATTCTAATCATTTTTATTTAAATATTGTTTCACTTTGGGGTGGGTATTAGTAATGGACAAACAAACAAAAAACTACACAATGTGCTAAACACAAGTGGGTAGGAAGAATACCAAGAGCTCTGAAGGAGTAATTTAGCTCTTAATTTCCAGGTACATAGTTAGGAATCATTTTATAGGAAAGGTGCATCTGATCCCAGGCAGAGATGAAGAGGCATGTTTGTGTGTGCAGAAGTTCAGGGTTGTTTTTTATATGTTTTCAAGGCTGTTAGAGAGGATCTAAGGAAAACAGCAAGAACAAAGTCAAAGTATGTGATTGCATTGTTATTCTGCCTTTATAATGAGATATCTTTATGTGATTGTTCGAAGAGTGTCTTTTAACGTGAGAAAGACTGTCTTCTAGTGAATAATAAACAATGCACACTTCAAAGGAATTACATTATCTAGCCTATATTTGTAAAAAAAAAAAAAAAACACAGTATGACAACTTTGCAATTTAAATGAAGACATAGAAGAGAAATATAATGATCTAAGTTTCTGAAGTTTCCTTCTATGAATTTCCTCATGGCTGTAGAGACATTATCCTCCAGCAAAAAATACGCTAAATGTTTTAATTTAAAAGTTGTGGCCAATAGACAATTTTAGACCTCTTTCATTACTGGAAAGAAAGACTCATTTTATTACCTTTTCTTCAAACATGTCTCTGTCAGGAGTGTGTTATGGTGAGAATCAAGTGACAGACAATCTAATTGTCTGGTATTAATTAGTCCTATAAAATAAGGGCAAGGTCCAGAAATGGTGGTTTGTGTTATTGTAATTAGTAATCCTGCTTTTTGTTTTTAATCAAAGCTTAAGAGTCAGACATATAGGACATTCAAATCCTGACATTGTCATTAACTTTATCTAAAAATGAAGATAACATCTATTTCTTCCATACCTCATTTCAATATGAGGATTAAATGTGTATATAAATTCTGAAATGTATTGCACAAAGAAGTATTTAATAAATACTAGTTACTAAAAAAGTATGAAAGAGTAAAACAGATGTACCCATCATAAAAACATATTGGTTGCAGTTTTCTAAATCAATATATGAGTATCTTAAAAAACTAAAATTCTACAAAATAAGTTAATTTTTAAATGTGATATTTTTTTCAAAGATAGAAAATTAAACTGCCATTGCACAAGCATGGAAAATGGAGAATTGTCTGTCACTAGGATGGGGAGAATACATATTTAATATGGTACCAACATCCCAGTGATTTAGGTATATTAAAAACTACTGAAACCAGCCCATTGAAAAACTCATAACAATCTTTTCACAAATAAATTGATTTCATATGAAATGTTGTATTTTTAAAATTTGCTGTGATTCTCATTAAGAACATGCTTATCACTGAAAAACAAAGTTACTTTCTGTAAAACAAGAGCATTTAAAAAAATGTATTCCCAAGGGGTTAATTGAATAGATAAACCCCTGCTGCTAGTAAACTCATGTAAAAAGATGGATAATGGGATTCCTTTATTTGCTTTCAGATTTTCAGACGATGCTGGTTGGTTTTTAAGAAGGCCTCTAGCAAGGGACCCAGAAGGTTAGAAAAATTTCCAGATGAAAAGGCGGCTTATTTCAGAAACTTTCATAAGGTAAGTCACAGTCCTGGGAGTCCCTGGGGAATAACTGGACCCTTGACAATTTGTGGAGACATTTCTTTGATGGATGAAATCTGCAGAGTTAAAAAATTCGTGGCCGGGATAAAATGCCCCTGTTCTGATACAGTGCAAAAGTTATTTTTCTCCTTTATTTTAATCATCTGTTATAAATGCCAGTGGTACCTCTGCAAAATGAAAGACTCATTTTTATTGCTACTTTGCAAAATGAGATGACTCATAACTTGACCAGATCATTTTTCAAGGTGCTGAGTAGGCGCTTTTCCTCTGTTCAGGTTAATTGTGCATTTGTTACTTTGATTTAAGCTCTAGGCAATATTTAGGAAATAAAAATTTTGAGGTTGGCTTTAGCAGTGCTAATAATATTGTTAATGTATATGGCATTTGCTGTTTAGTCAGCTCCTTAACAAGGAAATGATCATCAAACATGCTGATGTGTAGAGGTATGGCATAAATACTAGGAATGAAATATCAATTTCCTTAGAATTAAGAGAATGTAAAACACAACCCCAAAATGATGCAAAATATGCTGCCTAAATTCATCTTTGGTGATATCAAAACACAGTTAGGTATTTTATAGTAATACAGAGGATTCATAGTCAGAACTCAGAATTATAGAATAGTATTGTCTGTTGGGAGAATGCCTGAGTAAGCTCAGTAAAGATTCTAATTTCTCACTGGTCATAAAGAGTAAGTTGTCCTGGATAATTTAGTGAATTTGTGGAGTTTTATTTTATGTAATATACAGTCCGAATTTCTCCTTTTATTAAAAAAATAAATTATTTGATAGTAATATGCTAGCTAATTCTGTTACACAAATAATCAGCAATCATTTATATTATATCTGAACCCAGATCAGAGAGCTTAAAGTTGGGAGCTAAACAATGGGTTACACATGGTCATAAAGTGGTGTAAAGGACGTTAGAAACTAACAAGGTGGGTGAGGGATGAAAACTTACCTGTCAGGTACAATATACTCTATTCTGGTGACGGGCACACTAAAAGCCCTGACTTCAGCCTTATACAATTCATCCATGTAACAAGAACACTTGTACCCCTTAATATTTTGAAATAAAAATTATGAAAAAAAAATTGAGTTTCTATAACTCTCCATAGGGTGTTCTATATATTAATACAGATTTACTGCCAGAGAATGCAAGTTCAGTTTCCTGCCCAGTCACTTACTAGCTCATAGGTGTTTGGTTTTCTCATGCATAGATGAATTTTAAAATTGTTATATTATGTGTTTCTAAAGATTATTTGAGATATAGTACCATAAAGCAGCCAGCACACTGCTTCCTGTTCTAACTATAAGCAAAATTATTTGAATTCTAAAGTCTTGCTGATATTTTCATGTCAATTATGATTATGATTTTGGCAATGATGTTAAACCTGACTTAATGAGGAATTGCTAGGTTGTAAAATGTAAGTCCATGACATTTAGTTTGTGAGTAAAATTTTGATGGGCTGCGTGTATTATGTGTGTTCTGTGGATTTCTGGTCAGACCCCTGCCTGCTGGGCAATGATGTACACTAGCTGGAGCTCTCTAGCCAGTTCTCCTGGGTTTATTTTTACTTATAAATATAACAGGCACAATCCCCAAGAAGAGGTATTATCTGATGTTTGGACCCAGCCATCACTGGTATTTTAATTCTAAGTTTATAGAGAGTTACAGGTCAAAAAAGTTGACACTTGACTGAAAAATCGCTAATTAAAGAAATGATAGAAAATTGTGAAGAATACCATTTAAACGAGTAACTGCTACTAAATGTTAAAATAAAATAAAGTTCATGGTAATTATCAAGACTGTAAATATATTCCTAAGAAAATAATGTAATAACTCTAAAGAGAGAATACATTTATTTTACCAAAAAGAAAATTATTAAAAATGTTGACATTTGCAAAGGGAAGAAGGAGAAGATAGAATATCGGAGGCTCTGTGTGTTCGTCTTTTCCCTGGAGCTGCTCCTCCCTGGGAGAGGGCCAGGGGCTGTGGGCAGCACTGGAATGCCATCGCTGGGATCAGACGGTGTTGCTTTGTCCAAGGCCTGGACAACTAGCCATCAGGGCAAAAAAGATCACAAATGTTCTTCGTATTTTTATCCTCAGATATCCTCTTGCAAAATCAAGGACTGACTCATCACCTGTCATGGCTTGTTGTATGTCTAGCATTGTAGATTCACAAATCCTTTTTTTTTTTTTTCAAAAGTGAACATTGGCAGAGCTGTAAATTTTTCATAGTTGCCTCTGACGGTCAGGTAAACAAAGGACAATCCTTTTCTGAGACAAGCTGGCATGTTTGAAACCTTCGTTTTCTCTTGGGCAATTATGGCCAGTCCAAATATTGAATCTCCAGAATTGGGGAAAAAAAAAGTCTTCATTTTCAAGATGACTTTAAGAAATTGACTAGTATGGATTTCTCAAACTATTCTGTGTGTGATATTTAAATACTTTATACTAGTAATTAATCAGTTATTTCGATATGTCCTAAAATCTGCTATCATGCTCAGTAACAATAAATTAAAATAATCAAATGAACGAAATGTTTCCACCATAAGTGAAGGGTTTCTGAAAAATAAGCTAAGGACACAATTATTTCTTCACCAACTTTAACTTAGCGTTATGCCCTATCTGGAACATACACATAAGTTTATGAGTATTAATGGTCTCATTTAGGCATTTGATATGTTTGCCATGAGGGAGATCTTGCTGCATAAATCAATTTTTATATGAAACTGCTGTAAAATGGTATATACTTTTTTTTTTTTTTTACTTCTTGGTAGAAAGAAATTTGAAATTCAAATCACTAGCTGCTGAAGGAAGTTATTAAAAATGCATTAGAGTTGAAAATGTAGCTGTATATAATTGTCATAACAGATATTCAAAACAAATTTATCCTCAATGAAAACTGAACTAGAGCAATTTACATAGAATCAGCTAATAAATTTTCCTTAATTTTCTAAGAAGATGAAAAACAGTTCATAGAATTTTAACAAATAAATATGAGTTCTGTCTATAGGGAGGAAAATATAAATAAAACCCCTTAGAAGGATGAATGAAGACAGAATAATGTGAAGTTTCAGGGATGAAACCGCATAATGCCAGAGAAGTTATGCCTGTATTGGGACCAATCTCATTTCTAAATTCCCTATAACCCATCACTGAAAACATCATTTCATTCTATCTGTTTGGTATTGGCAGTATTTATTTTTATGTAAAGCAAACATCTGAGAGAGTTGGGGAAAAGATAAAGACATCCTTGTGAAAAATAGCCACCTATAAATATAGCACACCCTTAAAACTAGAGGCAAAATCAGTGTAAAGGCAGAAACAGCACATGGGCACAATGTTATGTTGAACATTCTCATTTTGATTGCATGAAAAATGACTCTGTTCTGGCATGAACACATACTTGATGGGATGTGAAAGGTATTCAAAGGCTTGGTGTCTCTTGACATCAATTCTCAAAGTGAACACGGTTTATTTGAAGTAAGGTATCTTATCCATTCGTTCATTGATTCATTAATGTATTTATCCATCCGTGATCTCTTATCTTGAAGAGGTCTCAGTTTCTTGAACATAAGCACCTATTAACATACACATTGGTTCCTGGGACAGTCACACCTTAATCCACAGTCATTTATTGATTGTTTTACTCATATTATCACGTTTCTCAGAGAAGACTCAAAGAAAGGGAATGTGAAAAGTTGGTTTTTACATTGGATGAAAAGAAGGGAGAAATGCCCAAGACAGGATGCACCACCTGAGCAGAGTGTCTGTGGTAGGGATGGGCCGGTTGTGAATGAGCAACTCTAACGCCAGAGATTAGCAAGAGACACTAGGTGTTAAGACTTCTGGGTGGAGGAGATAGGCAAAGTTGTGGTCTCAAACAATAGCGGACTTCCTGAGCTGATCTTTATCTTTGTGCTTTTTATATTAAGGTCAATTAAGATTTTAAAAAATCTTAGGTATCGTCAATAAAGTTATTCTATATGGCTTAAGGATGCCAAGGAAAATAGATAACTCAGTAGCTGGGATTTCTGTTTAACCCATTTCTCTAGAGCAGATTATGATGCAGACTTTTAGAAAAACATCAGTATGATTGATCTGGGCTTGACTTAGAGTATACAGCAGTATGATTTATGTTAGCAAAATTACTGTCTTTATGCCACTATTTATATCTGTCCATTTTGTTTTCTTTTGTAAGGCAACCATCCATAATGGTACCGTATCAGAACAAAACATGGTATAATTTAAACAGTACATTTTTCTATCTGTAAAATGCAAATAATAATGTTATAGCACACAAAGTGAGAAGATCATTGCATATAAAATAATGGAAAATGTAAAGCAATTATTGTTGTCAAAGTCATTTCTGCCTCAGATTTTGCATCTTTGAAATCAAGGAATAATTGGGCGTGGTGGCTCACACCTGTAATCCTAGCACATTGGGAGGCCGAGGTGGGGGGATTGCTTGAGGCCAGAGTTTGAGACCAGCCTGAGCAAGAGCGAGACCCCATCTCTACAAAAAGTAGAAAAATTAGCCAGGCGTGGTGGCGTGTAGTGTGCCTGTAGTCCCAGCTACTCGGGAAGCTGAGACAGGAGGATCGCTTGAGCCCAGGAGTTGGAGGTTGCAGTGAGCTATCATGAGGCCACTGCACTCCAGCTTGGGTGAGACCCTGTCTCCAAAAACAAAACAAAAAACAAACAAAAAAAGAAATCAAGGAATAATTTATGGCAACATTAGAATGACAAATTTGAATGATAATTTCAAACAAGTCGTTTTAGTTGGTAAATCAGAGAATATGAAAGGATATTCAGTACTGCAACTCTGTTATGACATTATTTCCATTATTTCTGAGGCATTTTGTATTTACATCACAGAGTTAGATCCAATTCCTTTAATTACTTCAGAAGATCATCAGTGCATTTTTGGTTTTTAAAAATCTCTTTTTTGTCCATCAAAAAAATTTGC